TATATGTTATAATCCACATTTTAGGCCTGAAAATTACTCAAACATTATATATTTCCTGAACGCCAAAACCCTATGGAATAAAATGGTGGCAGTTGCAAATTTTTGTGTTGCACAACATTAGCGCAACTCTTATCAAACCCCAAACTTACTGATAAATGCACTTAAATGCTCCAAAACACAATAAAATAGCCATTTTAAAAATAAAATATAAAATATGAGGTTACAACGAGTAAATAGATACCCAACATGCCCAGGTTAAAAATTGCGTGCGCCAGTGAAACTGCGACAAAATTCAGTTTCCCAAAAAGTCCATAGACGACGCTTTAAAAGCCCCCACAGGTCATCAGTTTAGAGATACATGTAAATATTGGCCATAGAATTATTGCTCTCACTTCGGCGTGCATGGCGATACCCAACTTGTGTAGCGCGATCGCCGTTTTCATACGTAGGCACCTCCAACTCGTGTTTACGTGAAGACGCGCATGCTCACGGGGGCAGGGGACTTTAAAACAGTTTTTGTACTATTTTTACACTTATTTAATATTAATCTTAACATTTTTTGTTTTGTTTTTGTTTTTCCTATCGCATAGGGGGGCTTACAATCCCCCCATGTGATAGCACAGTGGTGGTGACAGGTACTCTTTAAGGTGATACTGGGGGTCCAAAAGACCCCTAGTATCACCTTTACAAGTGCAGATTGCACTTCAATAGCTTATTGCTGTGCAGATTGCACTTCAATAGCTTATTGCTGCTGGGCTTCAGGAGCTCAGCACTGACAACTATGGGACCAGAAGTGATGTAATCTGCATCGGTCCCGGTCCCATAGTATGGGGAGGAGATCGGTGAACGGATGTTCGCCGATCTCCTCCCATGCTGCCCCCTGACACCAGGGAAGCCAGTTCCGGGCCCGCAGGAGGGACAGTGGAGCCCGGGAAACACGGCGGGGGGTGTTGGGGGGGGGAGCGTTTACCGGCCTGCAGAAGCGATTTGGTGGCAGCTGAGCCAGCAGAATCGCTTCTAGTGTAAAGCTGACAGTCGGCTTTACAAGTTTAAACAGAGTCCTTGGGAGTCTGTTTAAAGGGGCCCGATGCCACTGGTCGTTAAGGGGTTAAAAAATAAGTTAGTACCCCCCTGATAGCAGCCCTGGCCGGGGATTCAGAGTCTTAGTCGCGACCCCCCCATCCACTTGTGTTCATCTTTGCAATGAGACCCAGCCTTGTATCTCTATGTATCTTTTTGATTCACTTTATTTATCCATTTACTGTGACTATCCTTCTCCTTATCATTCCTAGGCAACAGCAAAGGAATTCAACAGAAGAGGAAAGTGACCTTTGTCTCACTTGGTCCCAGTAACTGCCGGCATTTTGGGTAAGCCACATGGCAGCAGACTGCCAGTGGGCACAGCTTCCTTTATGGCTTTAGTCAAAGTAAAACAGATGGTGCACTCCCCCACTTCTTCTGTTGCCCTGCTTTTCTGTACATCCCATGATAAAATAATAAATGCAGTAAAAATAACCCATACAGCCTAATACATTGCTCTGTTCAAAAAATAAGCCAAAATCTAGCCCAAAATCTCCTAACTGTAGATATGACTTCTAGTTTTGTTTACTATTTGCTGACAAACACACCCTGTCTAACTTTGCTAGATTTTTCCTGTGACAATCCATTCCCGACCCTCAGGAAAAAATGGTGAAGAAAAAGGCGAATTTGTTACACCTATGGGACCAGGAGCATATGCATCTACATTGCTATTATTTCATATTAAAAAAAAAACTTCTTCACTGCTAGCTGTAAAAAATGTCAGGAAGACAAGGCTTGGGTAGGAGAGCATGCAAGTCTATATGTGGAAGGCTTTTGACTATCACCAAAAAAGTAAAAATAGTGAACCTTAAAAAGGTTACAGATATCACTTTTGCAGATCAGTGCATTCCATCTTGAGGCTAGGTTCACACCTAGGCGACTGAGCTGGTGAGCGGTTTTCGCACGGTTGGCGTGCGTTTTCGTTTGCGTGACTGTTCTTTGAAAACCGCACGGTTTTCAATGCATAGAGATGTCTTTTGGACCCAAACTGCATGATAACCGCCCAAAAAATATCTCCTGTACCTTTTTGGACAACAGGCAATTTTGTCCATGCGACGAAGCGCAAAGGTTTGAACAGCCTCCATTGTGAATCTGTGTTTTGCGCGATATATCGCGCTTCTCAAAACGTGCGATAAATTGCCTAGATGTGAACCTAGCCTCAATCTTGAACCTGGTGAACCTCTCCCTTCATATTTAATAAACAGGTGTATGGTTTTCTCCCACTCCTACAGCTCCAGTATTTCACAGTTCAGCTGCAGAGTTTCAGCTGAACTGTCAATTAAGCATGCGTGGACATTTTATACCTGGTTCCACATGCATGCACAGGTTGATTTTGAAGTGTATGTATAGCCACAACATTTGTTTTAGTTCTTGTTAGAGTAGGGAAGGCCTAAACCCATGTCGATTATTTATTGCTGTATGTGTCCACTTGCGGAAATTTCCCCTCCCTTTCTGTCCCAGAAATGCAACAGGAAGTGAGAATTAATCTCTACAAAATGAGGGGAAGCCCTTTCCTTACTCTTGTTCTGGTGACATCTGTCTCTGTGACAAAGGTCAAATGGGCAAATTGAGAGAGTGAATCTGCCTAGGACACTAGGGATGCACTGAAATTTCGGCTGACAAAATATATCGTCCGAAAATTTTACTTTTGGGCAAAATGCAGAAAGAACAATTCTTTGGCCGAAAATGCAGTGCATTCCTAGTTTGCTATACATCACTTCCTGTTCAATTATGATTGTGGGCATAGTAACTCTATATCCACAGGTTATGAATGGTTAGCAACATAACAGGGTCTGCAGAAAAAGGGATTAAGGACCCTGTGTCCTTAATGTCTTTTTCTATATCAAAAGGGAAATATCTGTTTAAACACCTGATGTTTTTCCAGAGCCTGTAGGATAAAGTAACAAAATAAATACAAATAAAATATTACATTTTTTTTTAAAAAAAGGTTAGAAACATTTATTTTTCGGTTTTGGCCTGACAAATGATTTATTTTCGGTTTCGGTCTCAAAATTCCATTTTGGTGCACCTCTAGTTCTAACCCTTCCTGACTCTTTCCAAAACTAAAAAACAAAGTCTTGGCTATACATACACTTTATTGTACTCTCATCAGTAGGTGCCACAAAAGTATAGGTTGTGCTGTTTAATTATGGCATAACAATAGGACAGGACAGTACGTGCATTATATATAACCAGCTGCTGTTTCATTGATTTTAGGTTTATATATCACTTTTCTTGGTTGCTAGATCTGTGAAAATACTATGCAACAATGCATTAACATTGTAAAAGCTGAAGGATTCTGACTGATGCCTTCAGGGATTTCTGATTCAGGTCATGTAAGAGCACTATAGTATTGATTTTGTGCTCTAATTCCCCTCATCACAGTCTCATAATTGACTGATTATAGACTAACCACCAAAGCTGCTGCAATATTGTTTAATTTATGTATTTATATTTTGAATCAAAACATAAGGTTGTAGAATGCTTAATAATGCATCACTAAATGTATATTGTATAGCAAAAAGGAATTATTTGTTTACAAAGTGACTGAATCAATGGCAAAATATGCTGTCCCCTGAGCCATAATGAGACAAAGTTTCCATTCTGCTATATGAAAGAAGTCTGTGGTATTTAATGTGCTTGCCATCTGGATTCATGCATAGGAGACATGCTTGGTTTATCCAGTCTATTCAATAGCTAACTGAGCTAACATAATTATAGCCCACCCCTAACCAAAAACTACAAACATCAGTGTTGAACACACCCTGCTATAGGGCCACCAAGTGTTCACCAAAGCATGATACAGTTTTCTGCTTTCAAAAGTATATACAACAAATGAGAAAACCAGATAGAGAAAGCGTAATTGCCAAACACAATATAGCGCATGTTTATAAATCAAGACAGCTTCACTACTCGACCGGATCTTGTAAAACGGACATTGCTTTTTCCTTACTTCAATGTGTTTCCACATTCCAGCCCATCTACAGCCCATCTGTCTTTCCATATTCACCACCACCCTTACTGTGCACCAGAGAAGATCTGAGAACATGTAATTCAAAGCTACATGACTTGGTAGCCATGGTTCTCTGGGTCTTTCCATCATGACCTGATCTTCCTCCTGTAAAACTGTTAATGGTCTTGCAGTTCTGTTGTATTTTTAAATTTGCATGATCCCTTTTATATGGCTCAGGTAAATGGAATGACATGTGGTTGACATGACAAATTGACATTGACAAACTGAAATGCAATTAGAGATTCATGTAGAGCTGAGCTGGGCAGCCTATTAATAGTCGTACAGCAATTAATGAATCTCCTCTATTTTTGTTAGCTTTTTAGAGCAAACATTTGAGCAGTTCTCGTTGTCTGCACATCTGACTGTGGATAGTTAGGTCTGAAAGTTTTATGCTCATAATCATAGACTTGTGATGATCTTTCAAGCCCTAATAAAGCAATACTGATGGACGGGCCACTGAATGTCTATACAATTGCTTTTAGTTTTGCAATATATAAAATAAAGTGATTAATTTTTTAATTTTAAAACAATCTGCTGCAATAGCCCATAAGTGGAATATATTTGGCATTGTTTAGCACACAAATATTTTATGCCATTTTTGCCATGGTCATGAGGGTATTGCAGTAGTATCATGGTTTCCCTTAGGTTAGATATGCAATGCTACAAGCAAAGTGAATATTTGAGCACCAGCTCCTTAATTTGAGCATTCACTGTCAGTCAGTGGAATATATCCTGGGCTGTGTTAATACATTTCTCAACTTCTCAGGGTATTCAATCAATCTTCAGATAAATGTAATTCTTATGGATTCTGGAATGATTGACCTTTTACTTTTGCAAATCAGATACGTTAGACCCATTGGCATGCGCGCAGGGTGTGCCTGGGCACACCTTAATCACCCAGAGTGCAACACCAAAACTGCAACAGCAGGAGCCATGTTTTTAGTCACTGAGCCGGTGGAGAGATCACAAAGATCTCTCTGTAAACAGGTCAGCGATACAGAGCGCATAAGCACTTGCCACTTACATTCATCACATAACAGTCGCAGTCCTCAGTGTGTGGGAAGATGCGAGGGAGGGTGGCTGTGGCTTCCCAGGCTTCCCTTCAAATCAGGAAACTGGGTGGGTGGCCACATGACCAGTTGCCAGGCTGTCTGCTTCATTACTGCACCCCTGCTAGAAGAGGTAAGTACAGTTGGAAAATAAAGAAATTATATATATATA